AGGTACCATAGAGATGAAAATGGTAGAAAGAGAAATAAAATTTTGAGAGCAGAGTCTTGATACCGTTAGTCCCTAGATTTTTCTCTTCCTTTTGACACACACCAGGTGCTTCCTGATATGAAACACAAACTCTGACTTTTTCTTGTAACAGCACACTTGGATTTAGAGGAGAGCCACTGTCCAACTCCAAAGTGTAATAAGTGATCTGTGTGTTATTTCTCATGGGAACTCAAAAACATTGAAATTGCTTGGTCTGGGCACTTTACACGTTCCCGATATCCATCCACAGGTGCTATTTAATGTATGCCCGATCTTTATAAGCTATTGACTGGCTCATAAAATCAAGAAAGAGGTTCTGAGCCAGGCAAACATGGAGATTCCCTGCTGTAAATCAGCAGTCAGGAGGCTATTGTAGGAAAATCACCAGGAGCTCAAGATCAGTCTTTACTACATAGTCCTACATGGATACTAGACCTACGTGGTATACAAAGGAAGATGCTGTCTCAAAATATTTTTAAGACATTATCACTTGAGTGAAGAGACAGCTTACAGAATGGGAAAAATCTTCACTAGTTATGTAATGAGCAGGGGTTTAGAATCTAAAATCTGGTTTAAAAAGATTAAATATCAAGAAAACAATCAACCCAATCTAAAAATGGAGCATAAGATAAATAAGGAGTTCTGAAAAGATGACCTGAGAATGCCTAAGAAATATTTTTTTTAATTTTTCAACATTGTTATCTATCAGGAAAACATAGTTCAAAACAACTTTAAGATTTGACCACACCCTAGTCAGAGTGCCTAGAAACAAAATACAAATGTTAACAAATACTCAGTAGAACACTCAGTCCCCCTGGTGGGAGGACACACTGGGAAGTGACTAATGTAATGTGTGGAAGCTACACAAAAAGGGAACATAGATTTACTACATGATCAGGCTATACTACACGTGGTGATATTCCCAAATGACTTCATCTCCTAATGTTGAGCTATTGCTTATCCATCACTCATGCTCTACTCACAATACCCAAGAAATGGGAACAACCTAGATGCCCATCAACTGATGGATGGATAAGGAAAATGTGCATATTTACAGAATGGAACATTACTCATCTGTTAACAAAATAGAAACTATGAAATTCATGGAGAAATTGATGGAGCTGGAAAAAATTATTTGGAGTGAGGTGACAGAGGCCCCTCTCATGTGTAGATAGATTTTAGCTTTCACCCTTCAGATATGCATATTCCATTGGAAATACCAGCACAGGCTTTGAAATTACTATGGTGCCATAGAGTGGTAATTATGAGACAAAGAAGATGGTATTTAAAAGAGAATTGTGAACAAAGAAAAGTTAAAATAAATTAAAATAGGAGGTGAGAATAGGGGAGAGAAGTGAAAGTAGGAGGGATAAATAACACTAAAAAATTTCAAAATGTCACATGTAACCTAACAATGCAGAGGCTTCTTACGAAAAACCAAAAAAAAAGATAAAAAAGATGATGGGGATACCTTCTTCTGGGGCAACAATGTCCCTGCTAGACACCACAAGGTAAAAGTAAAAGTCCAGACCCAGGAATTACTTAGTTTTTATAGACTTGTTTGCCAGTGATAAACCTGATCCTTAAAGGCCACTGCCAGTGCTTTGGTTACTTTCCAGAACATGATGGTAAAATCCTGTTAGTGAATATACCACATTCCTGAGTTACAGAATATGGAGAAATCAAGCTGATGCTGACACAGAAATTCCACCCCTATTAGTTATCTTTCATAGTGCTGGAATGTTCTAGACACAGTAGCAGAGGAGAAAATGAAACATAAATCATATTCAGGTATGAACTCTGTGAGCTACAATACTGACTTGACAGATAAGATACAGCTACAAGTAGAATAGTGACAAGAACATCATGGTAGTAACCAACTACTTCCTGGTTGGATTTAGTATTGCTCCACAAGGTGATACCAGTGCTTAGCACCATATCTGAACAATAACTTTAGGCTGTGCTGGTCTACACCCTGGTGAGAACCTGCTACTATTATTCTGCTAAAGGACATAACATTAAAACACCTCCTGACAATTTTTCATGATACCCATAGATTAAGGCATTGCTTAACCCTTATCATGGAAGCTCATATTTGCAGTAGGTTATAATCAATACAGATACTCACAACTGGCCAAGATTCTTAGAATAAGACACTGACAAATGTCCAGAACAAAATGTAATATCTGTATTTCCAATGGCTGTGGAAGAAAAGAATAAAAAGAGTGTCAGGGCCAGAGTCATGGATAACTCCAACTATACAGTATCTTCTGGACACAGCAGGGCAGCTCACATATGAACTGGCCGTGGTTGAGACAGCATGTGCAAGACCTGTCAAGCCCAGGCATGACCAAATCTCTGCCTTTACAGGGAAGCTGAGAATGACAAGAATTGAGGAACATGAATCTACAATTGTGAAGGAATAAGGTTACAGTCAGAGGGGGTCACATGGGTTGTGTCTTGGGTGAGACTAAAATTGGCATCTGCAAAGGAACTCAGACAATGTGTTGTGTTGTGTGACTCTAATTCAGGCTGCATTTGTGGAGTTAGGAACCAGGAAATTTATCTTTCAAGAGCTGCTTTCCTACATAGTCAACAATCTGCTTCTTGGTGTTTATGTTCTTTTTTTAACCACTGTTCCACATTGTCCTTTTAGGAATGTCCGGCCTTTTCAGCCAAGTAACAAAGTCTTGATAGAATGAAAAACAACTGTTTGTTTTACTTCACTTTCTCCTTCTTGGAAATGCTGGTGATTCCTAAAAGCAACTGACCCTTGCTCCTCTGTGAATGGCCAAAACACACTGAGAGAGGAGGGGCAGAACCTAGAAGGTCCTTAAATCCTGCAGAGGAAGGAGGAGTGGGTTTCTTGTGACAAGACTGGATTACTATAGAGGGTGGTTCCTGCAGCTGAATTACTGTGAGCGCACACACACTGGACTCGGGATTCTCTGGTAAGTGGACAGGGGCATTCAGATCTAACTTCTAACCCTCACCTTCTCTCTTCTCTAAAGAGCTGAGAGATAACAAGATATTGAGGAAGATGCCCAGAAAGAGGGGATCCTCAGTTTAAAGCTGGGGTGCTTTGGTAGAAGGTGGACAGGACTGCCTCATGGATGGTCTTAGCCAATTCCTCAGGTTGAGGTAAACCTAAAGGAAATGATCTGGATATTGATTTCGATAAAAAAAAAACATTTTCAATTGTTTTGGCTTGTCTACATGGCTGTATATAGCTGCTTCAGGTGATAGAATATCTCTACCTTGTGCATGAGGTTGTTGTCTGTAACATTCATCTTGTTTCCCAGTTCAGGGTCAACTATTAAATTCCTTACATTCCAAGGCCCCTGGTCTATGGAGAAGAGGTCTCTCTGCACACTGCTTTTGATGTAGCTGGCTGTGGAAATCTGGGCCTGAAGAATCTTGTCAACTCTGGTCTTCTTTATTGTAAAGCAGGGGTGCTAAGGATCTTCTCTCCATCTTTGAGGAACATGTCAGGATGTGGTGACAGCTGTCATTTAGGTGGGGCATCCTGCTGTAATGATTGCTCTGTCACAGCCTTCTCGTTCCCTCAAATCATACTCAGTGGAAAGACCTTGCAGACAACTGACACATTGGTATATGTTGTTTTTGTTTTTTTTTTTTTTTCGAGACAGGGTTTCTCTGTAGCTTTGGTGCCTGTCCTGGAACTAGCTTTTGTAGACCAGGCTGACCTCGAACTCCCAGAGATCCGCCTCCCTCTGCCTCCCGAGTGCTGGGATTAAAGGTGTGCACCACCACCGCCCGGCTGACACATTGGTATCTGAACACAAATTCAAGAACAGAGAGAATGAGAGGGGAAAACCTAAAAGATGAGAACAGCTTGTGTGCTTCAGGGACATTCTGTCTGTGTCCTGTGGGTGACTGTCCCCTTCAACAGTAAATCCGGCTATGGAGTTTATGTAATCAGGTTTAGCTGCCCTTTTAGGGCATTCTCTTTACTCACCTCTTCCTGCCCTGTGCCTGCAGTCACTCTGCTATCTCAGGTGCACTGTACAGTGGGAGGATGACAGCAAATGATCCCAGATGAATAGACATTAATGGGCAGCAAGTGCTGTAGAGAGACAGAAACATAGTGAGAGGGTGGTGAAAGACGCAGGCAGGTACACTTTTATATCTCAATGACAACGTCAATGCTAAAGCCTGCCTATTCAAAGCAGAACCTAGAGAAAGGTCATTAAGTTACTAGCCATGTGGCTACTGGGGAAGAGCAATAAAATAAGGAAAGGAAGCAGTGACAAAGTACAAAGTCCTGGAATGAGAAAACAGACTTGAGATACCAGGGTGTCTGGAATTCAGACACCAGATGTCCCAGAAATTGGGATTCTTATGGTACATTTCAGGATTGACATGACGTGATATGACTTCAGTGTCATAACTCTGGCTGTTTGACCATCCATGTTGTTGCAAGAACCATCACAGGAAATATAGCAATGCCCATGACATGCTCAAAGCTGGTCCTGAGGAGGTCTTGAAGAAGATAGTGCAGGCAGAGTTGTCAACTGTGCTTGGATTTGGAAATAGAGATTAAGTCTATGAACTGATTTGGTAGAGGTGAGACAGACAGAGGAGGCTCCAGGGTGACAATGGGGATTGTTGTCTCCTTAACTAACGGTGAGATCCTTGTGCTGCTATTGAGGACTTTAAGGCAGGCTTGTGGAGAATCAAGGGGCAGAAATATGAGATCTGAGCTACCTAAATACCCAACAATCAAACTCATGTCCTTGAATCTGTCAGCAAGTGTATTTACCTGCTGAGCCATCATGATGAACTTGATATTCATTTTCTTGAGACAGGGTCTCAAGTAGCCCAGGCTAGGCTCTAACTCACTGTGTATCAAGGATCGCCTGAACGTACTGAACCTTTTACATCTACTCCATGTGTAGCAGAACTACAGGGATCCAGAAGCGCCTGCATTTGATGAGGTGCTGGGGTTGAACCCAAGGCCTTAGTCATGCAGGGAAAGCTCACTACCAGCTGATCTACATCTCCAGTGCACAGTTAGGTAAGTGATGAGTTGGTGACTTGGAAATATTGTATTGAAGAAAAGGATTTTAACAGTAACAGGAAGAAGTTTTATATTATTCCAAGTTTATATTCTTCATATAGGTGAATTCCAAGTCACGGATAAGACAGAAGGAAGGTAAATCTAGAAAAATTAAAAATTATCTCAACCAAATACAGTAGTTGGGCTTACTGACATATTTTGAAAAATCAATCAAACAGACAAATTAGATTCATGTGATCATTTCAGTCTTCACAATGATTAAACACCGATGTCAATTATTATTGCTTATTTTTCAGTGTGAAAAACTAGATGTGTGTTGATTTAATTTCTATTCATCTGAAGGCACACACTGAAAGAAGTGTGCACAGATGGAGAAAACATCTTGGATTTGATATACAAAATTGCAGTCAGGTTTGATGCAATACAGTTGCATTTGTATTTGTTGTTCCTGAGGCTGGCTAAAGGACCCATGCTGTATTTTATATAATTTTCCCTTACTTTACTTACGTTTTAATTTTTCCATAATAAAGGGTTTAATTGAAAACTAGAAGAAATATGTTTTAATTTCCTTCCTATTGCTTTTATACACACCATGACCAAAAGTATTTTGAAAAAAGAAATTATTTGGGATGGCTTACCCATTCTGATCACAGTCCATTGCTGAGGGAAGTCACAGTAGAAACTCTACAGGAATAGAAGCAAGAACGACGAGAGAATGCTGTTTACTGACTGGCTCCCCATAGTCAGACACTGCTTTCTTACATTACCAAGGACCACCAGCCCAAGGATGGTACCATTCAGATTAGGCTGGGATCTCCCACATCAATCCTAAATCAAGAAAACGTTTCATGGGCATGCCCCAAGCACATTCTGATGGGAGAAATTTTTCAGATGAGATTTTCTACTCCAATAGGACTTAAGCTTTTATCTTGTTGATAAAAAATAATCAGTGCAAAATGTATGGGAACTAGTCAATATCAGAACATAACTAAGGCTTCAGCATGGAGAAGAAACATAGTGCTAAGGACAAAAGCATCTTTGATCTTTTGCAACTTTCTCTCCTTTTCTTCTTTCAGTGACTGCTTTTTAATCATAAACATGGGTCAGTTATTCTCTGATACATCTAAGAATGAGGACAACAGAGATTTGGAGTCCAGCTTCACTAAATATTTTAAGAAGATTAAGACAGAAAACAAAATCCTTTCTCAAGAGACCATCCATTTAATAGAATTTCATCTGAAAAAGGGAAACATTCAAGGGGCAAACTCTGTAATCAATGATGCTTTAAAAAATATTGATAACATCCCAATAAACATTGCTGTGACAGGAGAGTCTGGAGGAGGGAAGTCCAGCTTCATCAATGCCCTGAGGAGGGTTGGACCTGAAGACCAAGGTGCAGCTAAAGAAGGGGTAACCGAAACAACCATGATGAGAACTCCATACAAACACCCCAAAATTCAAACTTTGACTTTTTGGGACCTGCCTGGCATTGGAACTATGAACTTTCCACCAAAAGATTATCTGGAGAAAGTGAAATTCCAAGAGTATGATTTCTTCATTATTGTTTCTGCCACACGTTTTACAAAACTTGAACTAGACCTTGCCAAAGCAATCAGATTCATGAAAAAGAATTACTACTTTGTAAGAACCAAGGTCGACATAGATTTACAAAATGAAAAGGAATCCAAACCACGCACCTTTGACAGAGAAAAGACCCTGCAGCAGATCAGAAACTACTGTGTGAACACCTTTACTCAGAATAACATGAATGCACCACAGATTTTCTTGATTTCTAACAAACATTTATCTGACTATGATTTTCCAGTTCTGATGGACACTCTGATAAAGGATCTTTCTAATCAAAAGCGCCACAATTTTATGCTTTCCTTGCCTAATATTACCGAGGCAGTCATTGACAGAAAGCACAAGTCTATGCAGCAGCATATCTGGTTGGAAGCCTTCAAGGCTGGACTTTTGGCTGCTATTCCTGTAGTGGGCATCCTCACAAATGAGGTAGAGAAACTAAAGGTGAAGTTAAACCACTACCGAGTCCTCTTTGGAGTGGATGATGTATCCCTGGAAGTCATTGCTAAGGACTCTCAAGTGCCTGTCGAACAATTGAAAAAAATCATTAAATCACCTTTTTTGTTAGAAACTAAGAAAGAAGAAACATTAGGAGAAATGTTGTTAAAATATTTGGAGATATTTGCCTCAATTCGTGGTGGGCCCCTTGCTTCAGGTCTTTACTTTAGAAAAACCTTTTACTTAGAATTTCTTTTCCTTGACACAGTGACTGAAGATGCCAAAGTTCTCCTTAGAGAGACATATTCAAAAATATAGTTCAAATTCAACTCATTCACAGCTACTAACAATGACAAAATCAAATGGTTAATGCCAGGAAGTCACTGGATAAATTCCCTCTATGATAGCTTTTTTTTTTTAACACTAGCCAGTCCTCTATCACTATGGGACAAACTAAGGGTAAGAGTCATGTGTGTTAATATGTCAGAACCTGACAACCCCAACTTCAGCACTCTACCTTCCCCCTTGTCTTTCAGCTCCACATGCATACTTGAATACACATGCACAGGCACACACACATACACACATATATGAATGCATGCATGCATACATGCACACACACACAGTGCATAAAGCACTTGCCGTGCCAAGCAGATAGAAGGAGCAGAGATCAATTTACACAACCTGTATAAATGTTGAATGGGTGGGACAGCCACCTTGTACTCCAAACGAAGAATGCAGAAACAGCGGAACCATGGAGCAAGCTGGCTAGCTAGAGCAAGTAAATCTGCAAGCTCTGGTTCAGCTGTCAGACTCTGCCTTGGAAAATGACAGAAAGCATTTGAAGATAAAGCCTAACATAAGGCAGAACTGCCTAGACACATGTGAACACGCATACCATACGAGAGACACATTTTGAATATGAAATAAAATGAAACTCGAGAAGTAAAAAATCTAAAGTCTTACAAACTACTGTTGTGAAATATAAATTGTAAGATGTGCTCAATGTGGGCAACTACATCCACACAAAACTTGAGAGAGTTTAATAAGAAATTCCAAACAGAACAGAGTTGAGCACAGCTTCTTGGTAGTCACATTTTCTTTCCAGTGGGCTCTGTTTGCTGGTGGCAAGCGGGGGGCACAGCGGCTCCTTTAGGAGAGGTCTTCCTGACTTAGCATTGGCAGTGAAGGCTGTTCAGCTTCTTTAGGAGAGGGATTACTTGTTCATACTAGTAGCACAAACAACTCTGGCTCTTTCAGGAGATGGAGCACTTAAATAGGGTATGTGAGCAGCATGTTACAAATTGCTTAACGGTGATATATATGCAGTGAACATTCCTCTGCCATGTTAAAATGGGTCGAGTCAACAGGCAGGGCCACAGAGTTGGTCCTAATCATGCCTGTTTAGCATTTTTTTAAAGTGCTTCTGGTCAAAAAAATAATTACAGATACATACTCAATAAAGACAAATTCAGATTTTAAAAAAAGACCTCTAAGTGGGTCGTAGTGTTGCACAAATGTGCATAGGCTTGAGAGAGAGAGAGGAAAAAGTGTATAGACAGTTATAATATATAAGAGTACAGGCAGTCTTATATTAAATATGTAAAGATAACAAAATAAATATTAAACTTGAAGAAAAAGTAATAGGGTAAAAAATAAGTCTCATAAAGATGTCAATATTATGTATAATATTGTATTTTAATTGAATTTTGAATAACATTGAATTAATTTTAATTTATGTATAAATTTTATTTAAATTTTTGACTGTGAATGAGCTAAGTACAGAGAGATATTTGATTCTGGGGGCTGCAATGCAAAACCAGCATGTATATTTTATATATATATATATATATATATATATATATATATATATATATATATTTTAAAGGTATCTTGACTTCAAAATTTGGTCTAAGGATATGTTCCTTTGGAAAAGAGGTTTTGCTTTTCTTCCACAGAGGGTGAGAACCTGTGGATTCCTTCCAAAGTATTGTGATTTAATGAACCAAGAACCTCTGAAAGGTCCCAACAGACCCCAAGATTACCTCCCACAACAGAAAGTAAGAAGCAATCTGAAGAGAACTATATCCAAATTCCCAAATATCCTTTATAAATGTTTGTTTGCATTTAAAGGGGGATATCCTATAAAGATGAATACTTTGCATTTGTTTAGATCTTTATTTATTGATACAAATTTTTAGGTCAATTTTGTTATATGTATATTTCTGCACTTGTTTAGGTATTGTATTTGTAAATTTTATTTTAAAATATAATGTATACTTAAGAAAAAGAAATTAAAAGTCATTTGTAATAGTCAAACTTGTAGTCATTTTAGTTGGGTTGTCTAGATGTACAGACTTATAGGTATTTTTGAAATCTTTCTAAGATATGCAGAATATGACATTTAAAATGTTTTAAGAACTTAAACTCTTCTCAACAGTAAGACATGTTTGCTTCTGGCAGCACCAATTACTTCAGAGAACCCAATGGGCATTGAAGAAACTCATTATGAAATTTGCCTTCAATGTAACTTTTCTTGCCTAGACTGCTAGATGTTATGCTATATGAAATGGACATGCAGAACCCACAAAAATAACTGCTAAACTTGCCAAAAAGTGAGACAGTCCTTCAGGGTTCCTGCTTCATAAAAGAGTCTGCAATGGATAAAACAGGACTGTCATATCCTGCCAAGACAGGGTAAGATAGTTTTGAAAAGTTCCTTGCCTTTAATAATGGTATGTCAGTTATGTTAGGCCTTAGCCAAAATTGGTTGATTCAACATTGCAAACGAGACTTTGGGTGATTGCCCAGGTAGTCAGTTGTCTCTGTCAATTGTTGCACATTTTGGATATATCTCGTTTGTTGAGTAGTTTTTATTCCCTTCTCAGATCTTTGACGGAGTCGAAGATTATATAATTGTAGTTACTCTCTACATTATTTGGACTCCTTGAGATAGAATGTTTAGCAAAGCTTTTGTTCTCAATATTGTTTGTTATATTTATTATTTGTTGTTATTGTATATAGTTGTATTTGGTTTGGTTCTGTCTTATTTAGACAAAAAGGGGAGATGTAGGGATAAGTCCCGCCCCTTGGGGGGCATGTTCGCCTCGGGCTAATGTTTGCCTATAAATTTGGCAAGCGTGCTCCCAGCCGTCCCTTCTGCTTTCCTGGTCTCCGCAGGAACGGTGGTTCTGTAAGTCTATTTCGCCATTAAAGCTGTATATATATAAAAAAATAAATAAATAAACTAAGATACATACCAAAAAAAAAAAAAGAGTCTGCCAGACATTCTGCAGGAAATAAAAGAAAGTGAATGACAAACTGTCAATAAATAGAGGCGAAATAGTCTTTGAAATTTTCTGTTTCATGGAAAAGTCTAGCAGAAACTATAGGCATGTAGGATGAATATGGATGCCCCAATGTTACAGAACTTTGGGTGAATGTCCAGGCCATGAGATGTCTCTGTCAATTCAAGAATTTTGGAAGTTGCTTAAAATGGACTTTTTGTTAACTTAAGTAATATTATAAGCTTCTGGGGTCTTTGATGTAGTTGAAGAATAGATAGGTATAATCATAGTTTTACTTAGTTATGATAAAAAATAAAATAGACATAAATATTGTAACTATAATTCTCACTTGATACCTGTTTTTTATGTTAAATTTTGCTATGTTAAAGTTGAAACCTTCCTTTTTATTTAGACAGAAAAGGAGAGGTGATGTGCGATTCCCCTCTGTATGCTGTGAATGTGTTCTTTTGCCATTGGTTAATGAGTAATACTGCTTTGACCTACAGAAAATCAGAACAGAATAAGACAGAATTCCAAGCAGAAATAGAGAAGAAAGTAGGCAGAATCAAAGAGATGCCATGTAACTTTGAAGAAGAAAGATGCCTACCAGTAGACTACAACCTTGTGATGATACATAGATTAATAGAAATGGGTTAATTAGGATATAAGAATTAGCCAGGAATATGTCTAAGTCATTGGCCAAGCAGTGTTGTAATTAATACAGTTTCTGTGTGATTATTTTGAGTCTGGTCATCTGGAAAATGAACAAGCAGCCTCTGTCCTCAAAGTAGAAACAAAAATCTAAGTAAGTGACACTTGTCCTAGTACAGGGTACTGGCATTCCAGAGTTTGGGGTGTGAATTTCCTCATCAGGAACCTCCAACCAGGCCATAAGCTTTAGCCTTAGCTTTCGCAACCCAAGAAGCAGACAGAATCAGCCACCAAAACTGGGAAAGGATCCACATCACTTAGCAGTTTAAAGGCTCATGAGTTCAAAAAATGCTAAATGATAAATAGTAAAAGAGGTTCAGATAGAAAAAAACTGTAAACATGTTCCAGTGTGTTTAAGAAAGAAAAAAAATTGTTGTAGATAGCCATAGGAAGAAATAGATTAAAAATAATGAAGTCTTTAAAGAGACAATGGAGTAAAAGAAAAAAAGCCACATTAGATTGGAAATATACAAGTATAGCATTGTGTTGAAGTTTTTGAATGCTGATGGGCAAAGACAACTGTTAGGAGATATGGGATTATGAACACGACTGAAAAAATGAACCAGCCTATATACTTTAGGACAATCTTTACTTTAAAAATTAAGTCAAAAACATATTTGTCAAATGGAAATCAAATATGCTTTGGGGTTTTATTCCCACAGGAGACAAGAAACTTTGGATTCCTTCGGGAATAATAAGGATCAGCTTTGAACAATGAGACCTCCTGAATCTTGACAGTTGATAAATATCTATAAAGGTTATAGCTGATCTTCCCAGGACTTGGCCATTATCCCAATTTTCCTCAGAGACCCATAAAAATGTCTATGCCCACATACAACAACAGGATATAGTTTTGAGAACACAATGCCAATATTCCCAAGATGGATGTGGGGGGGCTTTTGGATATTTGATGGGGTATGGATGATTATTATCATTTAGGCGAATATAGAAATATAGGATAAAAACACAACTATTAAACTCAGATATTTTGCATTGGCATCAATTTTGGTATATTGATACAAATTTAAAGCTTATAAATAAATTTTGTAACACTGTATATGTTTCTACTCGGGAATATTGCACCTACGTAGTTCATTTAAGGATGAAATATATAAATAAGAAATGAGGTTAATAGTCTATAATAATCAAAGTTATAGTCACATTGATTTCTAGGTTATTAGGTATATTTTAGATAGATAAATGCTCTGCAAACAGTTCAAAAACCTATAGAATATAGTATTTAAAATGTTTTATTAACTTAGGGCTTTTCATGACAATGAGACACATCTGCCTCTGGCAGCATACATGAACATCATAAGAGGATGATGGGCATCAAAGAAACTTCATAGAAGTTTGTTTTCATTGTGACAAGATTAGGCATTTGGGAAAGAAACTGGTTGTTCTTCGACTGCTTGACTGTGTACC